AAAACAAAACAAATGAGCTTGTGAAGCAATGCCAATTTCCACTTCAGTTCTTCTAACAGGTTGCTCTTCTAAAACCAGAGTTACCATTCTGATTTTAGTTCAGATATTTATTTTTCTTTCTGAAAATATTCATATTGTATCTGAGAGAATGTGTCTGGGCTTTATTATCTGTTGACTTTATTGAAAAATATTTTTTACAGAAAAAGGAGTGAAGGGGGTTGGGGAGATAGCTTAGTAGAATAAGTGTGAGTTCATTCCCTGGTACCACAAAAAAAAAAAATCACAAATCATGATGTATGTATTTAGGGAGCCGGGGAAGTAGCTCAGTAGAATAAGTGCTTGCCTGGCAAGCACAAGGTCCTGAGTTCGATCCCCGGTACCATTAAAAAAAAAAAAAAAGAAAAGAAAAGAAAAAAAAGTGTCCGAAACAGACAAAGGAGTGAAAAAGCTGAACTGAGATTATCTTCCCCAGAATTCTGCTTCTGCGCTACCTTCCTCTGTCTGCATGATGTGTGCTCACCCTTGTGAATTTTTCTCGCAGCTGTAAGCATTAATCTTGTTACGGGTTTGGCCGCATCTGTAACGAAAGCAGTACCTGGGCTGTTCTTCAGAGTTCTCCCTTCTGGCCTCTTGAGGCCTCAGATAATTACAAGAGAAATGAAACTTGAGATAGCAAATGACTGAAGTTATATCTATTACTTGGTCTAATGGAAGAAAGAGGAAATGACCTATAGACACCGGCAATTTTCTCCAACCCTTCCCTGGGTAGTACAGTCACACAACTGCTTTCTGTCCATAATCATTCCAATACTGACTGTCATCAGCAGAACACTCTGTCTCCAGCAATTCTCTTTCCCATGTCGCAGCCCCTTATTTGCTACCAAGAGGAATACAATTTCAAGGCCTCATTTGCTTTCACCTACTTCATTGCATGACTTGTCTCAGAGACATTGCTTTCCTCTTCCGCCACCTTCCTGACCCATATTATCTTCTAATCTTCCAGCCCTTCGTTTTCCCATTATTGCAAAGCTGATCATTGAGAGAATATTCAGTGGTAGGATGCTGTGTGTACCTCACGCCGTTGCCTGGACATTAGTGGACCGTAACATAATCATCATGATCAAAATACATTTTCATCTTCTCTCTGTAGGAGATTTTCCAAAAGGATCATGTTTACTTTGGAAAGGGCCAATGGAGTGTGCGCCAAATGAGGACTCAAGGAATGAGTGCCTTGTGATGCAGCAGGAGTCCAAGCTGCACAGGCAGATCCTGTATCCTCTCCTCAGGAGGCCCCTTCTCTTTTGCAGACTTCTCCATTGTGGTCGGAGTACTCTTCCCAGTGGCTGTCATATTCGTGGTGGTTGCTGTAGTGCTGTGTCACCAAGGTGCCAGAGGACAGGGGAGGAAAGCTCAGAGGTAAGCGCTTAT